TGAGGGCCTCGTCATTTTCTACTGTGAGCACACTGGCACACATTAAAAATGAATTTCTGTTGCCTGCCCTCAAAAATGTACACATACATAAGACACATGTACACATGTTACACACACACACATACACACACATACACAAACGTGTGTGTATATATATATGTGTGTACACATAAACATGTACACANCCACTTCAAGCACAAAATTCAGAAGCAGTTTCCATGTGAAAACAAAAGTATTCATGGCCTTTTCTTTAATCAAAGTAGTCAGTTTTGCCATTTCAGCCAACTCTATCAACTTCTGCAATCATTTGTCCATAGTAGGAATCGAGGTGTCCTTCCTTTTTTGCACATACAATGGGTGTGTTTAGGAATTTCTTACACAGGTCATGATAATTGCATAATGTGTTTCTGGTTTACCTATTAAATTGGCTATAACTATGAAAACTTTTATAGGGACTCAGTGGCCAAGACATTGAGCTTGTCGATCAGAAAGGTCAGATGTTCGGTGGTTCAAATCCCTAGTGCCACATAATGGAGTGAGCTCCTGTTACTTGTCCCAGCTTCTACCAACCTAGCAGTTCAAAAGCATGTCAAAATCCAAGTAGAAACATAGGGACCACTTTGGTGGGAAGGTAACAGCATTCCATCTGCCTTTGGCGTTTAGTCATGCCGGCCACATGACCGTAGAGATGTCTTCAGAGAGTGCTGGCTCTTCACCTTTAAAACAGAGATGAGACCGCCCCCTAGAGTCAGAAACAACTAGCACATATGCGCAAGGGGAACCTTTACCTTTATTAAAACTTTGTCAGCAGTCAGAATAACACAATAGCATTGTGAGTCCTCTTTTTTAATCTCAAAGTTAAGATCTACAGTAAGAAGGGCTGTGTATGATTTTGATACTTAAGTGAGTACTTTGCGAATAATCACTCCATCTTTATAATAGTAGGAAAAAATTAGAATCATCTCTAACAAAATAGTGCCCATATATTGCAACTTTCCATGTTTATTGAGAAATGCTGTTGAGTCAATGGTACTCTGCTATTGAATTGAAGCCCCACACTTGCTATTCTCTCAGAAAACCTCTCTCTCTCTTGCATATATGCATTGCTGCTTCCCTCACTCATATCTCTAGCAAATAAAAACTCTTGGCAGCCCCAAGACTACTTCATTATTATGATGGGATTGCCCAGTAAAATTGTTGTAAATCATTGTGTAGAACACCACAAAAGCATTATACAGAGGCAGGGGTGGGTGAGTACACTTCCTCCAGCTGATTTTCAACTTCATTTCCTTATTCATGTTTTATCTAGCACTGCAAACCATTTTAATTGCTGCTTGTGCAAATATTGAACAATTGAAAAATATTACAGTATCTTAAACTGTATGGCTTATATCATTCATTTATTTGTTTATTTATTAGATTTTTATGCCACCCATTTCCCTTATAAGATGACTCTGGTGATGACCACCTTACTGTTTGGCTTGAAATAGGAACCACCTTTTTATTTTAAATATACAGTATAGTTCTTTCAAATAATTGATCAGAGATTTTAAAATTATGAAGACTGCAGTCCTCAACAAAGTAAAAAAGTCAAAATTTTCCACCTGATATTTCTACATCAATGTGCAGAATCATACAGGAAGTTCTTTACTATTTACCATTGAAATTTATATCTAAATATATTTAAATATTCATATCTAAATATTCTTTATTGCCATCCAAATTTTGCAAGAGTCTTTGAATGACCTGTATTCAAAAAGATTACTGGTAGTTCTTGACTTACAACAGTAATTGTTCAAAGTTACAACAAAGTTACTACTGAGAAAAGTTATTTGTGACTCTTTTTTTCGTTGCAGCATCTTCATGGCCACATGATCAGTGCTTGACAATTGACTCCTATTTATGTCCATTGCAATGTCCCTGGGTCATGTGATCACCATTTGTGACCTTCTGACAAGTAAAAGTTAATGAGGAAGCCAGATTACTTAATAACTATGGCAAGACAGATTGCAAAATGGAGCAACACTCGCTTAACAACTATCTTACTTAGCAAGTTTTGGGCTCAATTATGGGCGTAAGTCAAGGACCACCTGTAATTTGTTTCTTTGAAGGAGGAAAATTATTTTTTGAACTATTTTCTGTAATACTAACATCTTTCATTGTTGGAAGATATAATCCTGCCTTGTTGTACTTTCCTGTCATTGGGCACAAGAAGGAATGATATAGCCTGAGTTAGTATAAAGATTTTCCCCTTTCGGCTATTTTACCATCCCTGTTTGCCATCCTCTATCTAGCAAGGCTAATATACTTCCAGAATTATTTCACTGGAATGTAAACATATTTTTTTCCTCCAAGGTACCTGAAATCTGTGAGTAGTGTTTATAAGAGCAGTGAGCTGTGATAATTTACTCTACCAACCACCCCATATTTAGGAAACACATTTGAATAGGAAACTGTGTACTTGGCTCCTCAAGAATACCACTATATTAGGCAAAAGCCTGGAGACCGATATGTGCCTCGAATAGCTGCATTAAATGACTTTCACTGATATCTTCTTCAATTAGTACTAATGAAAATGAGGTGGCTTTCTGCATGCCTCACAGCTCTTGGGATCCAACATTAAGTATCTTTAAAAAACTGCTGGAGGCAGCCTGGTAGCAGATTCACTGAATTGCTTTCAGTTTCTCAGTGCAGTAATTGGAGGTCGTGGTTAGGATTGAGCGATGGGATTAGACATTCTGTTTTTCATGGTGACTTTTCAGTAATCTCATGGGCTGTTAAACTATCTCCTTGGAGCACAATATCAACATAACATCAGTGGAACAGTTTAATATGCTTGTTGTTTCCCAAACTACCTCTAAAGTCTTCCTCTCGTCCCCATTATTTTCTTCATTTCTAATTGTACTTCTGTACTAATGTTATATTATTTAAAATATTTCATGGAAACATACATGACTCAGTGCAAAAGGTAGATTTTACTCAGCCCCTCCTAACATACAGTTATTAATACATGCTATGACTCTATTACAGTCAAAGATGCCATTGTTATTTTATATATTTTAATACATACTTTATAAAAGGTTTGGAATCTTGGATACCATTTAGATCAGTATTTCTCAACTGTGGCGACTTTAAGATGTATGGACCTCAACCCTGGAATTCCTCAGACCACATCTTTAAAATATTTAAGCTATTTAGTTCTGATATTATTATAAAAATAATAAAAATAAACTTATCTTTTTTAATGATTAATGCCTTTCCATATTTACAATCTTGAGTTCCTCTGTGTAAATATATTATAAAGCAGGGGTGTCAAACTCGCAACCCACGGACAAGAGGCATTACACACTGGTCACCCCTGGTTTAGTGAAGGGGGGGAAAGTTGTGGTATGTCATGTGATGACGTGTGCGAGTTTGACACCCCTGTTCTAAAGTAACAGATCAATCGAAGTTAGAAATGCAAATATTCATTGCAAGTAGTTTTTACACCTTGATAATATATGCATTTTTACTGGGAAGTCCTGTTTAGTTTCATGGGACTTATTCCAGGTAAATGATATGAACTTGTAATCTTAAATCATGCATTGCCCTCTCCCCCTGTTGCGCCTCCAAGCACCTCAGAATTTGCTCTTTATTTGGAGGGTCTCTCAGTTTTTATAAAGTAGGGGATTCATGTTGGGCAGAGGATAATCTCATCTGTAATGGGTCTCTTTTTACTAGTGGAAGAACATAACCAGAGGTCAATCTTTAGCAGAGCATTGTTATTCCTAAATTGAAAAGGACAAACGTTTGTCTTTGCCTTTTTAAAATACATATTTATGTTCTCGTGGGAAGAATTCAGAAAATACCATTGTAATTGAATCTGCTGCAATTGAATATTAGGCTTAGCTAATAGCTTCAAGAATGAATGCCAATACAAATTACAATTCTGTCTTCATAATAATTGGCGTTTCTCTGGTGAGGCATCACCAAATTAAAGTAACCATTCATTTCCAAATATGGTGCAACGGTTTGCCCATGGCTTAGCCTTATCATTTGAATTTCTATGGAGATTTTTTTACTTGTAATTCAACATTTAGAAATATTGTTTCGGACTCTAGATTTGTTATGTTTCAGCACTCTTTCATAAGCAGTTGATTGTTTAATAGTAACTACTATTGGATTAATTCATGCTCAGTACTAATTACTATTGCATAAGAATGTAATTGTCAAATAGACACCAAATAAATAAATAGGTATTTATCAACTGGTGTCAGATTACTCATAGATTACAGTGTTCTTTCAATACATTTAATATTTTTGTAAATCAGCAAATGCAGTTCTGTTGGTTATATCAGTTGAGTTTTTTACATTTTGAATAAAAGTTGACTTTACTTTTGATTTAGCATATTTTTCTCAGTATCAAAATCTTCCAAAACAAGACTAAATAACAATAGTAATTAACACAAGGATGCTACAGTGCATTTTACTCCATCGAGATTCATAGTGATGGCAGAGACAGCAAAATTTCTGCTGGTCATGTGACTATTAAATTGAGTCTCGAAATTAAACCTATCTACACATAGGGATATCCTACATATATCTGATACCCTCAAGATGGACTTCAGCTCCCAGAATCTCCCTGGCAACATGGTATTTTGTAGGAGTAGGTCCAATATACTTGGAAAGCATTGGATGTAGACGTTTGATATCAAGGCATCCAGAATGATGGAGTTTTTGGAAAGTAGGCTGTAATAGTCAACATAGTTGCTTTATGACTTATTGGTACATGAACAATCGTCCTGCATCCTCTAAAGAAATGGAAGTCAGCCAATGGTAGATTTCCTCCCCATCCTCATGTCAAATTCACAGCTGGAAAAAATAACCAAAATGCAGTCCCTCTCCTTTCACCATTTGGAAATGTCAGTCAAGGGAGTGTGGGTTTTTTTTCCTATTGTTTAAAAAAAGCAGGGGGTAAATCATTGTGATTTTATTTATGACAATATTGATGTCATTTCCAGTTACAGGCTGAACTTGATCAAGAATATCAAGACAAATTCAAAAGACTGCCACTGGAAATCTTGGAATTTGTTCAAGAAGCGATGAAAGGCAAAATCAGTGAGGATGGCGATCACAGCTCTACTTCTTCTTCCCTGGCATCCGATGGTGGAAAATTGAACCACAAACCACTGCAAAATGAAGAGCTAGAAGATAATCCAGGAAAAGTATTTGATACACCTCTCTAACAGCTCCCACAAAGATCCCCATCTTAAATTTCTCTGACAGAGCAAGTCACCATGTTGTTCCCCAGGAATGTTCCTCTTTTTGAATGACCATTGGGCAGCTTCAGATATGGAAGACCTCCATTGGGATTGTACTAATTTCTAAAACAAATGAGTTGGGTGTGGAAATTACATCCTGTTTGTAGGCCTTGTTTTTCTTTTTTAGTTTAATGGCATAAACCAAGAGGTCAGTGTTTATCTGGCCATATTTACATCAGTCATTTTTAAACCATGAGCAGGCTGGAGCATTCTTTGGGGACCAGTATGTTTTGTGCAAGTAAATGTGTTTACATCTCTTTATGAAACAGAAGTGACACAATATTCCACCCACGGTTATCACAGTATCCGTAATTGTTTGTTACTTCCTTGGCAACCACACCTTGAAAGCTTTCGTCATCTTAACAATGGCACTTTGAGAAAAGAAACTTTTTTTTTCCCTTTAGCTTTCTGTGCAGTGATAGTTGGCTGTGTTGGTTGTGTCTCAACAGGGAACTATCAGTGTTAGTTCTCTGTAACTGTGGTAACTACTACTGTAGAATATATTCCCAAACCAAAATCTCTTTAAGACATAATAAAATGATTATACATGCTTCAGATGTGATAGGAATTCACATATGTGTATGCACATTCTGTCTCTGTAAATCAAACATAGAGGCAAGTTCTTGCTGAACTTGAGGTAAAATTAAAAGCTTTAGGAAAGAGACTCATACAGCCATCAGAGATAACTGATACTGTTATGAAATAATTGTTGCACAATCAGAATCTTTCATTCAGACTTCTGTACTACTTTCAAATGTAAGATATATTCAAAAATGTTGCTTTCAATTATTTTTGGGTTGCATCATTGACCTACCGTAATTATTAAACTGGTTTGTGCTATTATATCTTTCTTCTTTTTTTTAATCTATGGAACGCACATGGAAATGCCATTTCCCAAGGGTATAGAAATGTAGATGTTTCAAATTTAAAATATATGTGAAAAAGAATCAGAGAAATCTGATTAATTCTACCCCTTTATATAGTTAACCTTACGAAGGTTACAGTTCCACCCCCAGCATTCCTTACTGCTCTACCTTGTGGATATTACTGAAACACTATGGTTTGTTCTGATAGCGGTAAGGAGTTGGAATACATAACAGCGTATATGTAGTTTGTTTTCCCTCAGGAGCTCAGTAAAAATAACTTATTTTATTTAAATGCAAGCAATAAATAGAGATCAAACAAAATAGAAATTGAATTAAATGCTAAGTGTACATAGGGAAACTAAAATTTTGGCTAAACAGTATTTTTTTTTTCATTAGCTACATCATGCATGAAGAAATGTTGCACATTGTTAAGAGTATATAAAAGATAAACTGCTTACATTTTATGGAGTAATTTAGAGGATATAATGGAAATGAAAAGTATCATTTTGATTTTAAGAAGATGACTCCTATCATTTATTCTACTTTTGCACTTTGAAGATCAATATTATTAATCATTAAATATAAAAACCTGGAAGGGTCAAAGTTTAATGCTGCATTTTCTAAGATAAAAGTTAAATAAGTTTGTTTCAAGTTAAGACAGGCTACAATCATCCAGTATTGATACTAGTTCTATAGTTATTTCTTTGCCATGCTTGTATACTGCAGTTTCAAACCAGTAGGAGAAACTCTGATAAGCTTTTTAATTTATGATGTAAAGTTACCAAGTTAATGGTTGACAGAGTAGTTGGTTTTCAGTACATTTGTAACTGATCATTGACTGTACTTACTTTTTTAATATCTGTACAGTGCCCCTTTTTGCAGTTGTAGTTTTAGTGTGTAATATTGTATATCTTGCATTGTTAAAACTTGCAGTAATACATCATTTATCATGAATATTACTTGAAATAAAGTAAGGTAATGAAAAAGGAGTCTATGATGTGAGAGTCTTGTGCCTTCTATGTATTTGCCTTGTTATGTTGTTGAACATGTCAAAATAATCTACTGTGGACATTTTGCTATAGAGAATAGAGCTGCATTGAATTACATTGGGCCCCACTGTATACTTCAGATACACTACTGAGAATTGTTTTAGCAGCTTCGGACAGACCTTCACACAGAGAATTTGGACATTTTAACTGTCAACATGGTTGTGAGAGTTTTCTTTTAGATAGGGCTTGCTTTCATTTGAAACTAACATTATTGAACATTGGTATAAAATAATGTATGTGACTGGCTGATTGGAAATAGTGGTTTTGCTTTCACTTAGGGAAAAGAATCATTTAACATGTATATAATTTTATTTTTCAGCCTTTAGATGCATAATCCACATTTTTTGTAAGAACCCTATGCAATTTTGTGGCATGATGTTTCTTCCACTTGTAATTTATGTGCTTTCATCACAGAGCCAAATAAAATTTCTTAACATTATCTGTACTTATTGTCATAATTATCCAGATCCTAAACATCTAGGTGTTAGAAAATGTTTCCTTTAACTGCACAGCTGGGGGGCAGTTTTGTGTTTATCTCATGTTGGGAGCTGTGTTGAAGTTGCCAACAAACCTAGTCATTGTCCCTCATGAATTTAGAGGAAACTTCGCCAATAAGCTATTTGGCTATTTTTATGTAGCCAAGAACCTTAGTTTATTGTTTGAGGCAGTGGGATATTTGGCAACCTATGGTTATTTTGCTCTTTAAATCTATCTAATCTAATCCCCCCCCCCTTCTTGGGGTGTGTACAGTTTGTTGTTACTAACAATCAGTAGTTTAGAAAACAGAGCAAAGCCATTGTTATGATTGTAACAATGTGGTCAAGCGCCTTCCACAGGCTTCTGGTTTTGTGTTTATTGTAACTCCTTGCTAACACAGGTTGTTTAGTGTTGGTGCGTCATGGCTGGGGGATTCTGGGTGTTGAAGTCCACAGGACTTAAAGTCACCAAGGTTGAGAAACACTGGCCTAGATGTTTACACTGCACTTTCTTCCAGCTATGTGGGTTTTTTTTCTCTTAAATTTATATGCAAAATGGGAAGAAAATGCCAGCATTTCTTTGTTTTAAAAGAAACATTTTTACAACTCACTTACTTCCGGAGGTAATTGAGGGCACCATATGGCTTTCTCACCAAGTTTTTATTACATTCACAGTAAGAGCACATCTATGAGGCAATGTCTAAATTATGGATTACAGAACAGGCAAGATTATAAGAACCTCAAATGTTAAAGTCAAAACATCTTGCTTTTTTGGAATGAGCAAGAGAAACCAAGAGGGAATGATACCTTTCAAGGCTACATCCTGGCTAAGGTGAACATCTGCTCCTGCTTTTCAGTCTCTGCAAAGTATTTCAAAGCTCGAATATTGAACCACATAAGATGTTTTTCTTACTCTTGCCTTTGAATCTGTAGAACAGTCATGCCTTTGGGGTAAGCATATTTATTACCCAACATTTCTAACCCCATGTTTGATTTTTGTATTGAAAAGTAATGTGTGTTTGGAATGTAATTTTGAGGGGTTTTTGTAGTTGTTTCCTTAGGAATAAATAGAATTCAAGTTGGCTTCTTGAGTATTTCTTTTTCCTAAATGGTAGAGCTATTAACCTTCTACTGCTTTCCATTCATTACAGAAGCAACTGACCAATTTTGTTATATTTAAGTACAATGACAATAAAGATTATACTTATACTGGTTGGCAAAAGTCCACAGAACCGCAAAGAGTTAAATTGAAATACTAGCTAGAAGACAAGCTTTAGCCTCTATTCCTAGTTCTCCTCATGCTCCACAAAATGTGGTTAGGAAAAAAAATATCTAAACTCCTGATCTGTTAATATCAAGTGTTGGGCTTTTCATTCTTCCTTTCTGTAGCCTGTTCAAGTACCAAGATGGCTGAGTGCTTAAGAAGGTTGGGACTGTAGGAACATTATGTACCTATTGTGATGTACTGTGAGGAGCTTCCCTCAGCAAAATGGTGAAGATTAAAATTATTCACCATGCTAAGTATACCTACTCCCCATGGAAAAACCGAAATGAAGAGAAAAGTCACATTCTGGCTCATTTATGAAACCATTGGATGGTGGTGCCAGGGAAAACTGACAATGAAATCTGACATTAGAAGACAGAAAGCCAGTGGAAATATATGTATGAATGCTGTCCACTGTCTAGACTATATATTGGCATGGGCAGCTTTCTGGCAGAGAGCTGCACTGGAGATGTTTCGAAGGAAGACCCCACTCAGTGGAATGATGCATAAATACTGTGTTTCCCCGAAAATAAGACAGGGTCTTATTTTCTTTTGATCCCTGAAATAAGCGATTGGCCTTATTTTCAGGGAGGTCTTATTATTTTTGAGGTGCAGGAAGCAGCAAGCATGATCACCTCATGGTTGCACTGCATTGCAATATTTTCAGGGAGGGCTTATTCTTGGGGAGGCCTTATTTTAGTCCATGCACTCAAAAGCCCAATTAGGCTTATTATCTGGGGAGTTCTTATTTTCAGGGAAACAGGGTAGTACAGAAACAAAGTGAGATTCGTTTAATGCTTAGGACACTGGGCTGAACCCAAGTGAGTGTGCGTTCTAGTCCTGCCTTAGGCACGAAAGTAACTAGGAGATCTTGGGCCAGTCACTCACTTTCAGCTCTAGGAAGGAGACAATGTCAAACCATTTCTGAAACAAAACAACAGGGATTTTTCCAGGCAATCACTAGGCGTCAAGACTGACTTGGGGGGGAAGACTGGGGGGGGGGGAATACAACCACAAACTTACCAGAATTAAATGTCGTGTGGAAGGAACTACAACTGGCTGCTTTCAGGCTTGGAAAGAGAAGATGAAGAGACTTTCCTTTGATTTTTAAAATTAAAATTGTGCCAAGCTTATCTTAGGTTATATGTTGGTATTTTCATGTGCGTTAGTTTTTTCCTCAGGTCAGCAGAGATTCAGAAGCACACAAGTTTGCCCGCTTCTGTTATATGTTCAATCTGTGATAGTAGGACAAATGTATTAATAGCAATCAGATGCAAGCCTACCTTTATTGGATCACAAAGTTTATATTCTGTATTCTCAAGATATTAGAATTCATTATAAGATTGATAAATTTTCTTGTGACTAACATGAAGAAATATTAACTATTCACCGAATTCCCAATGCTGTCATGAACCACTCATATCTATCAGTTGCAAGGTTCTTTGGAATGCTTAAAACTGCAAGATGGGTTACATTAAAATAGCTGGACTTGAGTAGATTGTCACAGGATTACCAAAGCTCTCGTGACAGTTCAACTAACAATGTCAAATTTGAGATGAAAGATTAAGTTGTTTAAATGGGCTTACCTGTATTTCAGTATTAGGCTTCTTACATGAATTGTTCCCCCCCCCCTTTTTTTTTCTTTCTTCAGTGCAATTATTACATTGGTTTGCTATGGTTGTCTCATAAATGGGGAGCTTGGGTGAAGCCATTTTTTAAAAAACTGGATGCTAAAACTGCTTACAATGGGTGTGCCGGCATTTATTCCTTCCACTTTTATTTTATTCTTTCCCAAATTGGACAATCTTGGTTAAGGAATCATTTCAGTTTATCAGTAGGAAATAGTTTGCAGGATGATCATGCTTACAGTTACTTCCCCCATTGATAGTACTATACTCAGGATATTCTGCAGCATTAGCTGCTAAATACTATAGAAAAAGGAATTCACTTTGACTGCAAAGCCAGTTTTGAAAAGCGGACAAAAAGCTGGACCAGAACAGCTTGTTTAGCCATTCTACTAATACAGGATGAAGTCAGAGGTGAGTTGCTCCCGGTTCAGCCGAACCGATAGTGGAATTCAGGCCTGGGTCACAGAACCAGCAGTGACCCAGGCCTGCCATGCCCTCAAACTGGTTCCCTTGCTGCCACTCAGCCGCCACCATTTTGATTTTTAGTGACTTTGTGTGCACAGTTTACTGTAAATTGTTCTGCACAAGCACGAAGAACAATTTACATTGAACAGCGCAGGCCCGCGCGTTGCAAATTGGTAGTAAAACTGGCAGCAACCCACCCCTGGATGAAGTCATACACTGGATTCTTATTTTGGTGTGACCCAAAGAATGTTTAGAACATGATAAGGCAGGCTTTCCAATTGGAAGTTAGCAAACGTGGGACGGGGTGCAAAAACCAATGGAGAACATCAGAGCCTACTCAAGATGGACAAATTACATTTTAAGGGAAGAAAGTTAAAAACTTTGTTACTGGTTCAGGATGCAGTGATTCCTTTCTCATTAAGCAGGTTAGCAGTCTTAGCACAGAGGCCAATCTTTCTTTACACTTTGTCCCTCTTCAGGTTGACAGTTGCTTCAAGGCAGGCTGCTCAGTTTCTTTGTTTATGCCAAGTACTATAAGGGCATGATTCCTACAGAGAGACTTCTTCAGATCTTGCCTTCTATGAAATAAGAGGTGGAAGAGCACATGGGCCATCTTTCAATCTTTCAGTGGGCAGGATCAGTAGAAAGACCGATGGGTCTGTACTGTCTTTCAGTCAGGCAATATGTCCTAATGGTTTGAATGGCCAGTCTCTTCCGATAGGTAACTGTAGGTGAGGTCACAATAGCAATAGCAATAGCAGTTAGACTTATATACTGCTTCATAGGGCTTTCAGCCCTCTCTAAGCGGTTTACAGAGTCAGNCAGAAAGCTTTGAATATTTTTACTGCAGCATACTCACCCATTTGGATACTGGTACATCGAAGCGAGGCTTGGAAGGGTAGAGATGAAACAAAATGGAGTCTGTATTTCAAAAACAATTTCTCAAGGAATGGAAAATCTACTTCTCTCCAATGCAACACATTATTTTGCAAATTGTGGCTATCTTCTTTGGATGTTCTCATTTAAGTATGCCCTTCAACTTTTCTGTGGAGCAAATAATTTGCTAGTATTACTGGTCCAAGTTTCCAGAATAGAAATAGCATCGATCATGCTGGTTGATGATCTCAGAGTTTAGATAGGAAAGTGTATTCCTTTTTGGTCCAAATAGACTTCTCACTTGTCCTCAATAATGATTGTTTGTAATGATTGTAAGTGATTGCTAATGAGTGTGGCCTGACTTGGAATTCATAGTCTGGGAGATAAAAAGTACTCAAAACCAGCAAACATACGTGCTGAAGCTGACCAAACTAAGGACGCTAGCTAGATGAATATCTGATAGGCAGAGTCCCCCCCCCCCTATTTTCCTCCCCAAAAACTAAGGTGTGTCTTATACTCCAGTGCATCTTATATTCCAAAAAATACGGTATGTACATCTACTGGCAGGATATAAACTGGAAACGCTTCACAATAGTAAATTACTTATTCAGTGTTATCTGTCCAACATATGGTAGACCGCACTTTAGTCTTGTCCTCCATGGTATTGGAATGGAGGTATGTATCATAATGCCCCATATACAGAATGAATTTGTTCTTGCCCATGTGTTTT